ATACTTTAGATTCACCCCACACAAAAGATAAAATAATATGTTGCATTGCCAAAGATTGCTTTATAATAAACTTCTGTTTCAATGACTCTATAGCACGTTTTTATAGTTGAATGCCCACATTTTAGTCAACTTTGTTTCTTTTAGCTTCTTATATTTCATTAAAATTATACTATTCTGTTCGACTCTTGTAGATTAATACAGCTGATGAAAGAATGACAATTTACTCAAAGAAATTAGTTTCCGGAAATAACTTAAATATTTAATTTACCGGACGCTTCTAATAGTCACAGAAGATTTGAAATATATATATAACAGCTTCAAAACCTTATAACAAATAAATGCTACAAACGGCTTGAAATATTGAAATAATTTCCAATGAAGAAAATGTTTAATTGACCAGAACGTTCATTATTTCTGTCATTTAGCAACACAATCTGCTAAATCACCATGGTATAGAATTCATTAAAATTAACGAAATGGAGATTTTCTTGTAGGAAAAAATTGGCTTTTTTTAAAACTTGAAAATGAAAAAAATTTGATAATGTTGGGAAATTGTTGACATGATATTGAAAAAAACATCATTTCCTTGTGTCGTTTGTCTGGGCTTGCCCTTGTTGAAATTGTTACAGCATTACTCCTTAACTGTTTGTCAGGTATAAAAGGTGAATCTAAAGTATGATGGTATAAACAGTTTTTACACACAGCTTATATCAGTTCATGGACGTATCATATGTCAATATAATACTTCCATGATCAGTCCAATGACAGCTATAAATTCATGGACTACTGAGTGTATATAACATTAATTCCCTGTCTCCTTTAAGGTTGGTTGCCCTTATAAATCATTGCCAAAAGGAAACTCCACAACTTTTATTTTTAGGATAAACCCGAAGTTCTAGAATAGTTCTATAGCTGTATATGATACATATCATATGTAAGTAAAACTAAAATTATCTACATACTATTGAGTATGTTTCAATCTATTTTATAGATAACACATCAATATGAAATATGATTAGGTTTGAGAAATTTAATATGAATTTTCAATGAACATATGTTTACTCCATACATGTTATTATTATGAATTAAGGTAGGGCAATTATAAAATACATATGTCGCATGGTTATTCTCTTCAAATCACCTGATGTCATTGTTGGTTTTGGATGAAAATTCGAATTGCTCTTACATGTAGCAATTAAGACTAGCCTTTGTTCACTCGCACACCTGTCTCATTACTTTTGACATGTTGCGTTCGATTTTGTTCTCTGGAAGTCGACTTTCTTATTTCTGTTAAGATGAATCGATACATTTCACATTTAACTGCATTTTCGTGATTTTAAGATATGTTGTTAGGACGGGTGAAATCTGTAAAAAAAACACCACTAAAATAGAAAATAAGTGACCGCATTTGTTGAGATTTTATTCGTGGAACTGAATGTTGTCCTGGTCTGAACTTTTACCAGATGGTGTACGTATACGTAGTCGCCTAAACTTGTATTACAATCAGTATACATTTTAATGTGTTGTCTTTCACGATTGTGCTCATTTTTCACCGTAAGCAAAACTTAACATACGCGATCGGTTTTCATCCGATATTTCCATATTTTCTTGCATGGTTTATCCACAGGAAATGTCCCCATTTTTTAATTTTAACTCTTTATCTACACGTAAGGTATATCCTTCTAAATTGATATCAAGGACCTCTCTTTGTTTGTCTCAAAGATAGTTAACTCAATCTTGATGGTCAAATTTTACCTATCAGTTTCACTTTATTTCTTTCAATTTTAATCTATTTTGCTTTATTTCAGATATCACGATTGTTTCAATCATGTTTTAATTATTTTTATTATGGAAAATTTAGTCCGTTAAAACAAAGTAAGTTTTGAACAAGTAAAGTTTATGACCCTCTACATTTTTTTTTTAATAACACGGAAATTTCAGTTGCATTACATATCAGTTTTTAAAACAAATCGTAGGACAGGGTTCGAGAAAAGACAATCAAAATCATTTTAATGATGTACTGTTACACCACTGTCTAAGGTTAGAGGGAGGGTTTGGTGTCGGCAAACATGTTTAACCCCGCCGCATTTTGTAGGTGCCTGTCCCAAGTTAGGAGCCTGCAATTCATTGGTTGTCGTTTGTTGCTGTATATCATATTTGGTTTTCGTTTATTGTTTTGTACATAAATTAGGCCGTTAGTTTCCTCATTTGAATTGTTTTACATTTGCCATTTCAGAGCCTTTTATAGCTTACTACCGGTATGAGGTATGGGTTTTACTCATTGTTGAAGGCCGTACGGTGACCTATAGTTGTTAACTTCTACGTCATTTGGTCTCTGGTGGAGAGTTGTCTGATTGGCAATCATACCACATCTTCTGATTTGTATATTATAAGCAATTTACGAGCTTTCTACAACAACACGTACGAACAATTATTTGAACAATCTAAACTCCCAACACTAAATATTAGGCGGATGAGAACCATGACATTAGAAACCAACAAAATTGTGACAAAACCCAGTCCAAACAATTTATTTCACAGGTGTTCTTCAGATAACTGATTCTGTAGCTCATGTAGACAATTACCTTTGCTGCACCACAGCTGAAGTCTTCTGTAGCCTTTAGTGTTTCGTTCATTGTTTGCTCTTATTTCAGCTATTTAGTAGTGCTTATGTCTCTTCAACGTCGAGGTTTAGGAGTTAGAACACTTATACATCATATGGATAATAATTTTTGGTATTTTCAAGGCAATATATATAAACATATATTTTTTGCTCGATGACAGTTTTATTGCTTATTATCCATGTGATTGAGTACTATAAATTTAGTACCGAAATAAAGGATAATCCTAACCCCGGGGACAGATCAACATTTTCAATTTCATTTTTTTTTAAATCGGACCAATCGCCAAGATATATAGAATTTAAATTTAAAACGTACTATCATAGTAAATGATAACTCTCATTTTTTTTATCAGAGTAAATAAAAGGAAACTAATACAAAATAATTACAACCGTGTTTTCCTGGCCGGTAAATTCTGTAAAAAGAACGGACTCACTAGATGAACGAAGTTATCGGAATTGAGATTATTGAAAGTACGAGTATAACTTATTTGTCTTTTCATAATATGCATGACAAAATATGTATTTATAGATTCCTTATTTCTGCTCTGTCTTTGTGCAATTTTAAGATAAGTGTATTACATGCAGCTGGTACATTGATTATATGTATATGACTTGACTTAAAATATGATTCATTAAACAGAACAAGGAAAATCTTCTATGTTTTATAATTCCGTGCATATTAATAAAATATAACGGATAATAATCTCTGTAATTTCAATAATACCGTTATTTCCTTTTCGATATGCTGACCAGTAATAAGTTTCAAACTGGGTATAACTAAACATTTTTTTTTATAGAAAACAAAAGTAATCATTATTTAGTAATATTGTACAAAATGCGATCTTACAGAGAATAGGCTCTGGTCTGAGAGTCACGAATAAGGGACTGTGGAAGGAAAATGTAACATTAAGGTCAAGTTACAGTAAATTGTCTATGTCCCAGATTTACAGAGTTCTGAATATTGTTGGGCCAGCATATTTATTTTTATGTGTGATAAGGCAAGATTTTATTTTAGCAACTTAATGAAGGCCAGCATATTTATTTCCAAAATCTGGCAGGTCCCTTCCCTTAAAATCAAATGGTAGTCCCTTAAAACCTGAAGCAAAGTAAGCTAAAATCAAGCCACACTGTGGTGTAAAACATTGGAAAATGTATTTTATCATCAATTATGATGAGATATTTCGATAATATACATTAAACTGAAACACTCAACAGTCTGTTTCATTTTAAAAAGTGAAGAAATAAAAACAAAAAATGCAAAACTTCCTTCTTTGGCCATATGACAACAGCGGTGCATAATCGATTGCGGTGTGAATTATGCGATTTCTTGTCAGCACAAAAAGGCATACTTGATATCAACATGTTTTATCATGAGAAAAAAGATAATGTCAAAATAAGAAAGGTCTACGACTGTGAAGTTTTAAGGAAAAGGGACAACCAACGCATTCTGTTTACACCAGCAAGAGTTAAATGAGTATAGAAATATAGTCACGTAAACAATCCAGTGGCGTAGTCACTCGGGAAAATAAATTGTAAGAAGCACATGCTTACAAGATCTTACAAAGCTGCACGGGTGCTATGCCAATATGCAATCCGTGACGTCTGATCGAAATGCGAACATTGATTGAATGCATCATCCAGTCTTCAGACAGCTCAAAACACATTTAACTTTTTCAGTAGTCTCTTTTTTTTTATCTCTTTGTGCACACAGAACCTAACCAATTGATTAAATAATAATGTTAAATCGTCTTTAATGTGGTTGACTGTTTGACACTCGTCTTGAGAAAGCACACGTGGAGAAGGATCTGCTTACCCTTCCGGAGCACCTGAGATCACCCCCGTTTTTTGCGGGGTTCATGTTGCTCAGTCTTTGGTTTTCTATATTGTGTTTTGTGTTGTTTGTCTGTTTGTCTTTTCTTTTTTAGCCATGGCGTTGTCAGTTTTATTTTCGACTTAAGAGTTTGAAAGTCCCTTTGATGTACTGCAAAGTTTTTATAAAGCAAATGCGTGAGATTTGGCCAAATCTGTAAAGAGAAAAAAACAATATATCAAAAGAAAATGCCCCCAAATAAGCCTGAAAATGCGTGAGCCGGGCTTTGGTATTCTTCGTCTCTCCTCTACTGCACTGAAGATCCTGCAAGCCAAGTTTCTTCTTGTTGACTTAAGAAGGCAACTGCAAGTTTTTTGTAGGGAGATGGAAATCTGTATGATTTATTCGCCAGCCATCAGATCTTGGATTAATTCTGGGTCATAAGATTATAGGGTGTATAATAGTCCCACATTCATCCGAGTAAACAGTACGTCAGTGTTTTGATCAATATTACAAAGACATTTAGGCGCGAAAAGAAACTTGAGACATAAGTTATCTACCTTTTACATTCCCCGGTTAGCCAGCTGGCGGGGATTATATGTTGTTTGAGTTAGACGATCTTTGTACTACATTGTATCTAATCACACAAAGCCACGTGTATATATACACCTTTAGCATAATAATTGGCTGTTTAATTTAAAAGTAAAGAGAAGACGTGTGTTTTATTGTACATTCATACAGTGCTAAATTTGCAGACGACAGATTTGCAGAAGGTAAATCTTTTTCTGGTAAGACTGGGCATCTTTACACTACAGGGTATATTCATTAGTGAATTTTGGTAAATGAAATTTACAGTTAAATTGGGTAAAACTTTTTTTTATGATTTATGGAAGTAATGAAGAGTTAACTTAGAATGTCATCATTGATTAATTAATATTATACTGGTGAAGTTTCATTTGAATTTCACTAGTATTTAGTAATTATCCTGTGTTTTTCTGTTGCTGAAATTATAGATACATGTGGTATTAACAGGTTGGGAACAACCCCCCCCCCCCCCCAAATGAGTAATAACCCTTAAATAAAGGATTGTCCCTCAGTCAAAGGATTATTTTACTGTTGTAGAAAAGAAAAAAAGTAAAACTTAGCCTTTTAAATTCATTTATATTTGAACAACTTTTCTACAAGAGTGGTCCTCTTTTTTCAATGAGAAAAAAGATTAAAGTCGATGATCCAAAATTAATGAACATGTTTTACTTTTGTCAATATTATACCATACATGTGACAGAGTCACAACTGAAGATTTTAAAATTTTCAGCTGGAGTTTTGGCCTCATAACTGGAGATTTTTGTCTCCGTTTTTTGTGTTCATTTTGATAATAAAGCTACATATCCCTCCTTTTTTTTTTTAGATAAGAGTATTACTATTTAATGTATTCTCTTTAATAACAAGATTAATATAGAACTCAGTTGAAATCACGACTACAGGTGGGATTAGGAGTGAAGGGGTTATTAACACGTATTTGATCAAAATTGTCAAATTTGACTTCTGCTGGGTTTCAGGGGCGTTTTAAGGTGTGATTCGACCCTAAGAGATTTCTGGGAAATCAGGCATTTTCAAAAATTTGCAAACCATGCAAATTAGTTGACTCTTGATGCTGTAACTGATACTGATCTATCAAACTATGTAATGAGATGTGGGGGCATGGTATGGGTGGTGGTTTGGGCGAGAGTTTGTATATTTTCTGGTGGGTTTGAACCCACCCCAGCTGAAAAAATAGTCATTTTCAGTCTATTTTTTTAATTTTAATATGCCTTGCAGTCTTCATGATAAACCTTTGAATCCACAGGCCTGAATCTCAATTTTATGCAAAATTTTAGTTGAATTTTGTTGGCCTGTAGAGAAGATTTTTACAGGCCCGAAAGCAATTTTACAAGCCTGGGCTGTTGGGCCTGTGGTTGAGTGTGAAGACTGGCCTTGAGAGGTGAACATTGACCGAACTGTGTTTCTTTGTCAATCAATTATTACCTTTTAGTTACAGCAGTCCATCCATACTGAATGAATGAGCAGAAGTAAATGTGACTTGAGTGTCTTGTTGGGGAATTATTATTGGCAAGCCAGGTCTGCCTAAATGTCTGTTTTTACAGATTTCTGACATAAGAGTGTTTGACCCTAGATTTTACAGACCAGGTTTTTTTTAAATATTATACCTCCTTGTGTTCCTGTACCACCTATGCATGTAATTAGGATAATAGTTAATACCTACGGCACATACCATTAACTTAGTGGCCATCAAATGACTCCTATCCCCACCTGATTTTGTCTACTTTTCACATTTTTACGATTTTGAACTCTTAAGAAGGGCATTCAGGTTGTCATATTTTCTTACAAACGCATCTGGGAAGAGTTTATGGACCATAAATTGCATGGTTGAACTCCCTGCTGTCAACACAGTTCAGCTGGGGCAGTTCTAAAAAAGTATAAAGGGTCATACCATGGCCAGCCATCAAAGAATGGCGGTTGCAATCACGACTACAGGTGGTATTGGAGGCAAAGGTTAATAAGTAAACAACAATATATTGTATGTGTACTGGATAGATGTCACTGTCCTGTCACCTCCATAATAAGCTTTATTGAGGGCTGTCAGTTTACTCTATTGAATTGTTACATATTTTCATGTCAGGGCCTTTTATAGGCAACTAGACGGTACAGGTTTTTATACGCCCGTTTACAGGACGTACATGTATAATGGTATACCGTTGTCCGTCCGTTGTCAACATGTTGGACAGTAACTCAAAACTCTTCAACCAATTTGCATAAAACTGTGGTGAATTGTTCATATCTATTGATGTGAGCTCCCTTTCATTTTTTATAAAATTTAGATTTTACATTTCTGAGTTATGGGGTTTTATTCATTAAAAAAGATGTGATTTTCCAGTTTTCAGACAATAACTCAAAAATGCTTTCACCAATTTGCAAGAAACTTTCGTCAATTGTTTATATCTGTTGACATGAGCTCCATTTTGATTTTTATAAATTTTAGATTTTATTTTTTCCGAGTTATGGAGTTTTATTCATTAAAAAAAAGAGGGATTTTCCAGTTTTCGGACAATAACTCAAAGATGCTTGCAGCAGTTCTCATGAAACTTTGGAGAATTGTTTATATCTATTGATGTAAGCTCCCTTTCAATTTTTATAAATTTTAGATTTTACACTTCCGAGTTATGGGATTTTATTCATAAAAAAGGGGTGATTTTCTAGTTTTCGGACAATACCTTTTAAGTGCTTTGAACAGTTTTCATTAAACTTTGGTGACTGGTTTATATCAATTAAGATAACCTCCCTTTAGTTTCTCACAAATTTCTGATATGACATTGAGAAGTTTTGAAATTTATTCATAAAAAATGCGACGGGCATATCATGCGCTCATGGTGCAGCTGTTTATTCTCATTGTTGTAGGCTGTATGGTTGCCTATAATTGCTTACATCCACTTCATTTGAACTTTGTGAATAGTTGTCTCATTAGCAATAAAACCACATCTCCCTAGACCTAAACAAAAAATATATGTCTGTTTACGGTTACCCGACAGACCCTACTTTTGAGTGCCGACCTTAAGTCATTTTTGTTGAGCCTTCGACTTTAGTCGAAAAAGCGAGACATAGCGATCCTACATTCCGTCGGCGTCGGCGGCGGCGTCCACAAATATTCACTCTGTGGTTAAAGTTTTTGAAATTTTAATAACTTTCTTAAACTATCCTGGATTTGTACCAAACTTGGAAAGAAGCTTGTTTATGATCATACGATAGTATCCAGAAGTAAATTTGTTAAAAACAAAATTTCATTTTTTCTGTATTTTACTTATAAATGGACTTAGTTTTTCTGCCAGGAAACAATACATTCAGTCTGTTGTTAAAGTTTTTAAAATTTTAATAACTATCTTAAACTATCCTGGATTTGTACCAAACTTGGACAGAAGCTTGTTTATGATCATAAGATAGTATCCAGAAGTAAATTTGTTAAAAACAAAATTTCATTTTTTCCGTATTTTACTTATAAATGGACTTAGTTTTTCTGCCAGGAAACAATACATTCACTCTGTGGTTAAAGTTTTTAAAATTTTAATAACTTTCTTAAACTATCCTGGATTTGTACCAAATTTGGACAGAAGCTTGTTTACGATCAAAAGCTAGTATCTAGAAGGAAATTTTGTTAACATTTGTACCTGTTTATCCGTATATTACTTATAAATGGACTTAGTTTTTCTTCCAGTTAACATTCTGCAGTTAAAGTTTTTAAAACATTTATTAGATTCATAAACTATCCTGGATTTATACCAAACTTTGACAGTAGCTTCTTACAATCAAAAGATAGTATCTAAAGGAATATTTTTATTGATTTTTTTCCTCATTTTTGTTGAGCCTGCCATTAACAGCAAAATTAGGCGAGACACTGGGTTCCGCGGAACCCTTACAAATTTTATTCCTGTCGTAAAGTGAAAAATTAACTGAACTCTTGTCAAAAGCGAAGTTAGAGTTGCCAATAAAATGAATCAATTGCCTGATACATTTAAATGTTCACAATCTTGAATATGACAGTTATTTTAAGAAACTTGCGACTTGTTTGATGAAGTAAACTTTTTGACGCCATTTTTTTCCAACCAATAATCAAGGGAAATAATCCAATCATTGAAAATACAGGTAAACTTGGCCTGTGGACAACTCCGACCACTGCAAGACGGACCTCACGACTCAAAATCATGTCGCAAAAAATAAAAATAAATGAAAATACCGACTTACCTACCATATTTTTTTCAATGATGTAACCTTAAACAGACATATTTTTTTGGCCTTATCTTGACTAAATACATTTATGTATTTGATTTTTGTCCCCTTCTGTTTTTTTTTGTTTTTTCACCCCTTTCCCAATTTTTATATAGTGTTCCCATTCTTTATAATGTTGTAAGTTTTCAAATGTTTTGGATTTTTTTTCTAGCCATATTTTACATGGTCACTCTTAGCCAGATTTAGGAAATAATCATCATATGAAATTCAATTTAAGCATTGAAAAAAGTATAGGTCTCTCAAATAACTTTAAAAATTTGTATTTTTTTCATTTGTCCTAAGAAAGTTTAAATCTTTTAATTACCATTATTATACCATTCTATGTTTAATTTGTATTTCATTTATATTTTGTATCCATTTATATTATTTTAAGAGGATAATTTGAAAAACATGGTAAAACAAGGGAAGTAACAGAAATTTATACAAAAGTGTTTTACAATTAGCTTATCATTTTTGTTGAGCCTGCGACTTTCGTTGCAGAAAGCTCGACATAGGGAAAGTGATCCGGCGGCGGCATTGATTAACTTCTTAAAAGCTTAATATTTCAGAAGGTAGAAGACCTGGATGCTTCATACTTTGTATATAAATGCCTTATGATATGAAGTTTCCGTCTGTCATATTTCCATTGTCCTTGACCTCATTTTCATGGTTCAGTGACTATTTGAAAAAAAAGTTAAGATTTTTTTGTAATGTTAATTTCTCTCTTATAATGAGTATACCTTGCAAGGTCCTCATGCCTGTCAGACAGTTTTCACTTGACCTCAACCTCATTTCATGGATCAGTGAACAAGGTTAAGTTTTCATGGTCAAGTCCATATCTCAGATACTATAAGCAATAGGTCTACTATATTTGGTGTATGTAATGATTGTAAGGTGTACATGTCCAACTGGCAGGTGTCATCTGACCTTGACCTCATTTTCATGGTTCAGTGGTTAAAGTTAAGTTTTT